ATTATTTTCATGTGCACCTCTGAGTCATCATGCATTCCTATCTCATTCCTATGCTTGGACTTTGTTGCAAGGTTCTACATAATTTCTCTTCCCTCTCAAAACTGGTTGTTGCCTTCAACTGGCAAGACCAGTTGCATCCAAGATGCTAATGATCCTGAGATACAGATTGCTTACAAAGTTCTTTTCCAATCAGTTTTTATAAGTGAGAGCTGAAGTGCTGATGTCGTGACAGAAAACAGTGTTGCTGTTGTTTGGAGGACAGTTGGCAGCAGGCTGACATTGAAGGGCTGCGGTAACACTAGCCTGGGAGCCTCAGAAACCATATCTCCATAGGACTGATCGTGAAGTCCTTCGCTCACAGACGTGTTCAGGAGAGCTGTTAGGTACCAGCGACCAATGGGCTTATCATCCAGTAGGACAGATGCACATACACATTTATAAATAATGCAGGAGGAAAGATAGGACACATCAAAGAGGAGGGACAAACAAAATAAAGGGGCATTGGAGGAGGGGGCACACCCCCTGGACAACTTAATGGAAGAAGTAGAATTAGAATTGAGTAACAAAGAGGGATTGGACTGCATTAGTCAGAGAATTTTAATGGAATTTTTGTGGTGAGAAAATCCTTAAAAACTGAGTTATTTAATAGCTCCATGATAGTGAGTTGGTGGCAGAGCCAGTCTCTTGACTTTCTAATTGAATGCTCTTTCAGAAAAATAGAGAGTAGACAAAGAACCTTTAGCAGTGTCTCAATTGCCTGAGGTAAGAAGTTAGTAGTTTATGGTTTTTAAAACATAAAATGCTTCTTGGGTACCCTGATCTTTGGTGAGGTGGAGGGAGGAAAATAAGAGAGATTTTGAACCCTGCTCTTTTATCAGAAAAGATAAAATTTGGACAATCTCATTTCTGGACTAATGCAATCACAACAGCCTCAGTTTTTAGGGTTCCTCTGCAAGATGAATAATCTCTAGATTGAATTAGGGAAGGCAGGTCAAAGGCCACAGACAAGAATCCTGGGCCAAATGCTGGAGTTTGATTAGAGGGATGACTCTTTTCCCTTTAATTTTTAGAAGTTCTTTCACATAGATCTCGCAGTATTTTTTTTTTCTTTTCTATAATGCAGAATCCCTTATTTATGGATTATTGAGATTTCTTTCTATCAAATTTGAAAGAAAAAAACTCATTTTGGATGGTGACCTCATAAAGTAGATAGGAGGGAAAGTATGGAGTTAATTTAAATGACTTCAAAAGTCTTTTTTGTTTTCTCTAAATTTCATTTTTGTTTAAATGTGTCCATGAGCTATAAGCAGGTACCGTCACATCCAACTGGATAGGAATTGTGAGACACTCAAATTAATGGTCTTGTGAAAAAGGAGGTCATATAGGAAGCTGGCAGAAATAGTGTCTGAAAGTAGGAACCGTGATGTGATACCTGATTCACGAATAATATCACAATCCCCTCAGAGAGTCACAGGAAAACAGAGGCCCTATGAACAAAAGGCTTACCTCAAGCAGAGCTTCCCCTTGCCTTCCTCTGGGGAGTTGCAAATAGGTAAACTATTGGAGGTTGAAATTTCACCTGAATAAGGCCCTGCCTCCAGGTGCTCTCTACATATGCCGTCAAGTGCCCATCCTTTGAGAAATGCAGAGGACTGCTCACGTCAGTGGGTTACATTAGTGCTTTGTGGTAAATTTCCTAATAAAAATTGAGACCCTTGCCGGCCCTCCCACCTGGTCTCCCAGTAAGGGCAGCTTCACCAAAGGCTTGGCAGTAAGCATGCTGTTCTGCCTATCTCCTTCCAAATAGACAAAATGAATCTTCCAAGAGGGACAAGACCACCTCTAATCAGAAAATATCAAAACATAAATGAAGGCAAAAACATTTGGTCTCTTTAAGCATAAATATATACTTCTATATAGAGAATGCAGATACCTTTCCTCCATCATATAGCCAAGAATGTATAGTGTTATATAGTGTAACTGCCCTTCAGGAAAAAAAAAAAATTGGCAGTGTGCATTTGTTATAATTAAAAGCCTCTTTAACTAGAAAAAAGTTCACTCCTGTTGAAACTCAGAAGAAGGTGGCTGTGAGTTTCACCAGAGAGTGTCAGCAGGTTTGAACTTGCCTTTCTCCTCTCCTCTATCCCGCCAGTCACAGGAAGCCTGAAACAGCTTTGACACTCAACACACTGCTGACAGATCCTCCCTGATGACTCTGCAGCCCAAACAAACGCATTGTTCTCCTTGTCAACCCACTATTGAGAGGTGATCCACAGTGGAGCTGCAATTGGCCTCATTTGTTAGTGCTAGCAAGTGCAATGCTGAAGCTTGTTACCCCGAGAGAAGAGACAGCTGAGAACGAGTTCCCAAAATCAGGCTCCCTGTGGAATCAGGGGCCTATCAGTAAGTCTAGGTATGAATGCATCACCTCCGGCTCGTGACTGAGGCCTGCTTGTCCCTCCTCACACGCCTGCCCATTCTCATCTCCAGAAAGTGCAATCACACAGGTGTTTTTGACCCAAGACATGGATATTCAGTTTCCTTTCCATCATTTCATTCTGCCACCCTACAGAGCAAGAGAACTCAGTGGCTGTGACTTTTTAGAAGCACTTTGGACATATGGGGTTCTCAGGCAGAAGTGGTCACATCGTTGTCCTAGTCCTCATATAGAAAGGCACTGAACATTTTAGCATTACACACACGATTGCATTTTGCAACGTGCACTAATAGTTTGTTTATGGGTTAATCATTCCACATTAGAATGTGATCTCTTAAAACAGAGGTCCCCAACCCCTAGGCCATGGACTGGTACCAGTCCTTGGCCTGTTAGGATCTGGGCCACACAGCAGGTAGTGAGTGACTGGTGAGTGAGCAAAGCTTCATCTGTATTTGCAGCCACTCCCCAGCGCTAGCATCACCGCCTCAGCTCTACCTCAGATCATCAGGCATTAGAGTCTTATAGGAGCACCCATCCCTGATGCCAAAAAGGTTAGAGTCAGCTGTCCTAAAAGACAGGAGCTTTGAGGACAGGTAGGGGCTAGTGGGAGCATGAGCTTTGACCTGGGTTCAAAAGCTGATTTTATCATATGTTCAAGGCCAACTGTTGAACCTTTACAAGACTCAGTGTTTCCACCTAAGCAATGAAGGAAAGAAATAAGAAATGTTATGGACTGAATTCTGTGCCTCTCCATTCATATGTTAAAGTCCTAACTCCTAACACATCAGAATGTGACTGCATTTGGAGACAGATTTTTTAAAAAGTTAAATGAGGTCATCAGGGTAGACCCTAATGCAATATGACTTGTGTCCTTCTAAGAAGAGATCAGGTACAGACAGGCACAGAAGGAAGTCTATGTGAAAACCCAAGGAGGAGAAGACGGCCATCCACAAGTCAAGGAGAGCAATTTCAGAAGAAACAACCCTGCCAACACCTTGTCTTAATCTGTATAGGATGCTATAACAAAAATGCCGTAAACTAGGTGGCTTATAAACAATAGAAATTTATTTTTCATAGTACTAGAGGCTGGAAATCCAAGATCAGGGGGCCAAAATGGCGAGGTGAGGGCCCTCCCCTAGGTGGCAGACTTTTCTTTGTGTCTTCACATAATGGAAGGGGTGAGGGAACACTCAGAAGACCCCCTTAAAGAATTTCAAGCTTTGCTGGAAACACAAAAAAATGAGCCAAACTTAATGTGCTGTGATATTCGGGGAATTTCCCTTTTCTACCCAGAGCTAAAGGATGAAAGCGTTTGATCATTTCATTTTATTTAAAGGAAATGGTATGTGGTGGGCAAGGGAGAGAGTGACCTGGGTTCTGGTTCTAAAGTGTTTGGCTCTTACAGTCACAGAACGTTCATTAATAACTAAAGACTCAGACTTTAGCTAGAAAACTCTAAAATTTAGCATGTTAACCCTTATTGTTACCCACTCCACGGTTTACAACTTTGCATCACCCCAGTACTGGTTCCAAGCTCCCCTCCATACTCTCTTTCTTCCACCCCCGATCCCATTTCTTCATCATGTAAAATTAGCAGGTCGAAAGGATCTCTGCGGTCCCTTCCAACTAAAAAAATCTATGATTTTATGATTTTCTAAATCCCAGTGCTATGGTAGCTCTAATTTCAGGCTTGTCTTTAATTCTTTGCTTTGCTTCACAGAGCAGGAGAAAAGCTTATGTTGCAAAATGCATTCCAGAGAGCAGCACCCCAGAGACCAGGTACAGGGTGAATGCAGGCGCAGTTAATGTGGAGCACAGCAGCCAGGTAGAGTGGGGGTGCTGTTTGTAGATTGTAAAAAGCTTAGCTTGGCAATTTAACTATGCTGATAATTACAGGGCAGAGGAAGTTGGGAGTGAAGTGACAGTGGAGATTTCTTTAAGAGAGCTGTTCCAGGGGATTCTCCCTAACTTGGCAGTGTTGGAGAATGGAAGAGCTGGCAGGGAGCCAATGATAAACCTTGAAAGGAGCACATCAGCTTCCTTACCTAACTAATTTTAGGAGATAATCCACGTTTCCTGTACACAATGCTTTTTTTAGATAATACTGGAGGAGAGCTTTCCTTGACATGAAATAGAAGGTCATGAACTCACCCTTACACATCCTGTAGCATGTCTTCTCAGACAGTTCTATCAGACAGAACCCAGGATAAGTAATGCATAATTTAAAGAACTTCTATAAGAATGAAATGAGATAAAATGGGCAAACGGGATTTGGAAGTTGTCATATGATAATCCAGTGAGCCAGGGGTATAGCAGAAGCAGCACTGGCTCTGTAGACAAAAGAACTGGTTAAGATCTAGCTTTGCATTTGGCAATTAATGAGACCTTGTAACCAACTCTCTTTAAGTCACACTTCCCCTAACTTTAAAGCATTGTAGACATTTTGTGATTATAATAACAATTATAAGGTGAGTTGGAATTAGTAGTAGTAGTAGTAGTAATCATCATCATCATCATCATCATCATCATCATCATCATCTTTTAAAAGGAAAAGGAACCATTCTCCAGAAACTTCAGCTTTATTCTTGACTCTGAAGAATTTTCTCCTCAAAGTTCACTCTCCATGGGGTAGCCTTGGTTAACAATGTCCTGGTCACAACAGCTGCAAATGACATTTTTATACTTCAGAGTTCTGACCCAAACTCTATTGCAGCCTTTAAAATCATTCGATGAGAAGTCACTCACCCTGGGCCATGAAGGAGAGATTTACCTTTTTTAATGTCTCCAGAGGGCATCTGAAACATGGTGAAACAAACTGGTCAGTCTTTTACGAGGCTACCACAAAAATAATTCTAATTGTAATATAAGAATAAATATTGTATTTATGTGTTATGGTCATATATAAATACATGTTGTTAGAGACACGATGGGTACCTCGGGTGATGGAATTATGGATGATTTTTGCTATCTTTTTCTATACTTTATTTTCTTCAGTGAGCATGAGTTAGCCCAGCATCTCGTCTGAGTATAGTCTTTTCTTTCAATTACAATTATGTCTTTTTTTATGATAGACTCCAGTGACCCTTTAATTCAAAGGAAGGTCTTTACCCGAGGTGTCCATTTCCTTAACAATATCTGGGAGAAGCAGTTGAGAAGACCACTCATTTCTTCCCAAACCTATAATAGCTTTGTATTCTCACTTTCTTTACAAATTCTTAACCAAAGAATACAAGTCCTATTTCATGTCAAAAACAACAATAACAAAACAAACAAACAAACCAGCACTTACAAAATCAGAAGTGCTTAGCATAGGTAGAGAGTGAGATTGACTCAGGGTTGGGGTTTTGCCTGGTTAATGAAGGGAG